AAAAAAAAAAAAAAAAAAAAAAAAAAAAAAAAAAAAAAAAGTACAAGGTAAATTGTTATCAAAATATTTCATTCATAATTCTCTAATCATGTTCATTTACAAAGCCACCAAATTTGACAAAGTCAAAATTTTAAAATAAAAACTTAAAATCTCTATATTCAAACACCTTAGAGGCCTGGAAGCAGAAACACCACACCCCAGGAGTGCTTCCATTATGTGTGTGTGTGTGTGTGTGTGTGTGTGTGTGTGTATAGGGGCTGCCAGCACCATGACACACAAGTAGAGGTCATCTGGCAGGAGCAGGTTCTCTGTGCTGTCTGGTCCTGGGGATTGAACTCAGGTCGTCAGGCTTGGCAGCAGGTGCCTCTGCCTGGCGAGCTATGGAGCTATCGTGCTGGCTCCTTTGTTTTTAAGGCAGGCTCTCTCGATGTTTCTGTAGTGCTACATAGTCCAGGGCAGCTGGTCCTTGACCCTCCGGGAGACTCTTATCCCCGCCTCCCTCCTATCCTTCTGTAGGAGTGACTACAATGGCACTCTTTTACCCACTCAGCCATCTCGTTGGCTTCTACCTGTGTTTTTGTGGCAAGGGTCATGTAATTCAGGGTAGCATTGATGTTTTGATCCTCCTGCCTCAGCTTCCTGAGTTCTAGGGTGACAGGTGTACACTCTATATCTGGAAGGACTTTCCATTTAAATGTGAGTCCAGATTTTTTTTCTGTTTCCACTGGGAAAATAGGACATCTGGCCCCCCGCACCGGACCCCTGGGAGAACAGTTGGGCTATGGGCAAACCTTGCCTGTGCAGATGCTAGGTCCAAGAGTCCTGGGGGAAGATATCTGCTTATGGCTACAGGTAGGTTCAGCGGTAGAAGTCAGCATACAGAAGACAGGCTTTCTGTCTTGGGCTGGCAAAACATTGAGTCAATGACTTGTGGTGCTTATGATTCTTCCCTGGGAAGGGCACCATTGGTAGGTGATTGGCATGCCAGATTCCACTTCCAACATGAATAAGCTGCTGTACCAGGCTGATGTCTGGACTGCTCCACATCCGGGAATTGTGATTTGGATGGCAGCATTAGGACCCATTGCTGAGGCATTAGGAACCTAGGCCTGTAAGAATCCCATCAGTGGGAGCTGGAGAGATGGCTCAGAAGTTAAAAGCATTTGTTGCTATTGCAGAGGACCTGGGTTTGGTTTCCAACACCCACATGGTGGCTCACAACCATCTGTAAGTCCAGCTCCAGTAGATCCAATGTCCTCTTTTGATCTCTGCAAGCACCAGGCATATATGTGAACATACAGAGATACAAAGCATTCATACACATAATATTAAAAAGTTTTAAAAAAGAACCCCACCAGCAAGTTAGGGACTACTTGAGGTATAGCCCCCCCACTTAGGGATTTAAGGTCCCCAAACCACCTCACAGAGAGCAGGCTTGGGCCAGGGGACAGAGGCATGGTTAGAGCCTGTTCCTTCTGCCAATGTACCCAGTTTATATGGAGCTCTTTGCCCTGATCAGAGCCATGTCTTGGTTTGTCTTCATGGGTTCATAGCTGCTGGGCTCCCATGCTAGTCTTTCTCCCTGGCTGAATGCTGAGGCAGAAGAAAAGCAGGATAATGGCATGGGGGGAAGAGCACTTGGGGAGTCAGGCGATGAGCAGTCCCACAGAGTCGGGATTACTAGTACACACCCAGAAACAATCACAGGTACTTCACACCATTGGGTGGCTTGCTCTTGGAACTTGGGGGTGAACACCACATTTCTGTTTTAAGGAATCTGTGTTCTACTCAGTTCTCTTGAAGGGACCTCTTTCTTCCCATCTTACTCCCAAAGGAAGCCATTTTGGATCAAACAAATACAGGCAGGCAATCCAAGATGCCCTAGATTGGATCACACTGTGGATGGCCTCTCCAGGCATGGGGGTTTGGGACCTGAGTGACAGTCAGCTGGATTTGGACTCGGTGTACAGCCATTTCTGTTCCCTGCAGGCTTTCTCCTGTGCTGATCCCATAGAAGCTCAGCGGCCCTTCTGGTTCATCCTGAGCCCTAGGGTTAGTTCCCAGAATCCCCTGGGGGTCCCCCAGTCCTCCCAAATATTTAGTTCCCTAGTACTTTGGAAGGAGGTAGACAGGCAAGGTGAGGAAAAGACGGAAGAAAGCCTGCGGTCCCTGGAACTTACCCAAACATGAAGTGGAAGGCTCAGGAGCCCACAGGCGAGGCTGTGCCAAGGAAGGAGCCCCGAGCACTGGGGCCTGCCACAGACACCCGGAGCTTCCCAACACGAGGCCTGGAGTGTGCTGAAGTAGGGACAGCAACAGAGGCATGGCCACTGACTATCTTCTCCCAGGACAGAGTGTGCCCGGGACTGCGCCGGGGCTGGGAAGCTTGAGAAGGGAGGCAAGGGAGCAGAGACCCGTAAAGCTTGGGTGTGAGGGCTTGGGTCTTACTCATTTCTACAGCCCCAATCTCAGAATGAGGTCTGGTCCTAGAGCTGAAGCAAAGGAGGGAGTAATCTTCCCCTGGTTTCCTGTGGTTGCCCCAACCTCAATCATAAGCCACATCCTCCTCCCTGGAGGCCTTGATCTAGAGTCAAAGTGTGGTGGCCGCCGTCCCCACAGAAGGCACAGGGGAGGATCTGGCCAGCCTCTTGCCATCCCTTAACTGTAGAGTCTATCTTTACACGCACTTTCTGTCCTTGCCACCTGTGCCCCGGAAGACACACAGCTTCTGCTAGGGCATTCTCATTGAACTGGGGACCTATCCTTAATCTGGCACAGTGTGACTTGAGTCTGACCTTCATTATATCTGCGGAGACCCTATTTCTAAATAAGGCCACATTTAGAGGCTCTAGGTGGACATGAACTTTCAGGGGCTGTTATTCAATCCAGCATGGCTTTAAATAACATACCCCACAGCAAGAAGGCAGGTTGATCTAGAGGAGCTCCATCCAGGGCCTTCTATGGGTCGAGCCCCAGCTTTCCAGCCTGAAAGGGCTTTGGGCACCACCCATGACCTCCAGTGCCACCCGCCAGGCTGGGCTCTAGGCTGCCTTTACAGATGAGGAAACGGGCTCAGAAGGGTTAATTAAGTAGGTAGCCCAGGTCTCACAGCTAGCCACCAGAGCTGGGGCAAAGCACCCAAGTGTCCGTGGGTGCTGGGGCATTCCTGTAGCAAGTAGGGGGTGTGCCGTTTTCCAGGTTAGGCTTTTTTTTTGCTTCGTGGCTCTTACACTTAGGGATGGATGTCTTCTCAGCAACTACACAGAACTGTGACTCGGTAGTCTGCCCTGGGAAACCAGGTGGGGGCCTAGTGGGCTCCCCAGGAGTCCCACTTACCCCTAAGCCTCCCAGCACATGGGGCTAGCCAGAAAAAATGCGCCCAAGGGGGTGGGTAGGGCACGGGAACAGTTTACCGGCTCTTGGCGGGCAATATCCGCTCAAGGTGGGAGACGCCAGGCCAGGAATGTTCTGCCTAGAGTTTTCAGCACCTTGGACCAGACAGGAAGGCTCTATTTACCGGCTTCACAGACTTGACTGCAGGCTCTACAGCGGGGCTCAGCTTGACCCAGGTCCCGATATCCTATGCCCAGGAAGGGACAGTCGGCCTATACCTCCAGGACATCAGAGAACGCCATCCAGGAATGGGAGTGGGGCATCTCGTCCCGGGTCTCAGTTTCTCTGTCTGCACAAGGTGGGCCCTGCATCCTAAGCACTGGAAGGGGCTGGATGCTCACCTCCCCTTCCCCCAACTGCTTCTCGGTGCCAATCAAAAGCCAGGGTTGAGGCAGTCCTTGAGCCCTGCCCCTGCCCGTGGGTTTGCATTTTTCTCGGTTCCAGGGCCCGAGGTTTCCCGTTGACAGGGCGGGCTGACTGGCCGGCTGACAGACCTGGCTGACAGATGTTGGGGAGAAGGCTTGCTCTCCCCATCACCTTCGCCCTAAGCGGGCCTGCCGCCTCAAAAACGCAGGTGCTTGCCCACTGTGAGCTCACCACCTTCTCAGCAGCCCCCCGGGAGTGTATTATTACCCGCATCTTCCCCCGGAGGCGCCTAGGGCTTAGAGAGAAATAGCGACTCGCCCAAGGTCACACAGCGTGGCTCGGGCAGATCAGAGGGAAACCCGGCGCCAGTAGTTCTTCTAAGGCCCATCGCCACCTCCTTGCCATCACGTTCGTGAATAAAGTACCAAGGCCCAACGCCCGTCTTTTCCCAAAAACAAGGCTCCGGGCTAATCTGAGGGAACAAAAGCGCCCAAGAATCCATCCCAGATTTTCCACCATTCCGATTCCCACCGACCAATCCACTAGCGCCGGTCGCCAGGGGGGCGGGTGAGGGCGGGCCCGGAGTGATCGACAGTGCCTCTCAGAGGCGGGGCCTCGGCTCTGACCAATCCTGCGAAGCTGCTGGCCCGAGTCCGACCGCAGAACAGGCGGCCGGGCCAATCGGCGCGGGGGGGCGGGCCCGTCCAGCCCGGGCTGTCGCGAGAGGCG